CAACTTAAAAATTTCTACACAGCGTTTTAATCGATTAAAACTTATTTTTATCGCTTAAAATAACTTGAAAAGTTTTACAAGAAAGTTTTGCAAGTATTTCAATCGATTGAATCGTGAAACAATCGATTAAATCAACTTAGAGGATTTTTTGTAAAGTGTTTTAATTGATATAAACGTTGTCGTATCAGCTTAAAACAAATTTGTTAAAGAATCAAGAACGTATTAATGGATTAAAAGAAGTTTTAACAGATTAAAACTGCACTTTTAACAGATTAAAAGAAGTTTTAACAGATTAAAACTGCACTTTTAACAGATTAAAAGAATCTTTTAACAGATTAATTAAACCAGCTAGCTTTGAAAATCTTCTATTAAAACAAGTTTGGCTTGAACTTTTTTAACATACATTGAAAATCATCTTTTACACATCCTTGAGCAATCAATCAAGCAAACTTCAAGCACTCTTTTCAAGAAAGATTCGCATCAGCTTTTGAGAAGTTCTTTGAAAATCTTTTTGAGGCAACTTGATTTCTTTTGAAGAAGAAACACTTACAGCAGAATTGCATAAACTGGTTTGAGCATTCTAGTTTCTTCTTTTTCATTTCTTTACATTCTTTTTGTATTGTTTGGTGCCTGGAATTTGGGCACTCGGTTTCTCTAGCATCTGGAATTTGGTTGTAGAGGTTATTAAGAGCTGGAATTTGGTAATACGTAAAACATTTCAGAAAGCAAAATGTTAAATACTTTTAAATATTAAAATTGACTTTATAAAAAATTAGGAAAAAAAATAATAAAAAAGAGTTCAAAAATGTATTATAATATTTTCAGTTTTAGTTTAATTATATTTTTCATTCTCAAAGTAGAAAAATATATTGTAATATTATTTTAATTTAATAAAATATAATTTAAATTTTTAATACTAAAATTAAAAGATTAAATAATAATAAATTTAATTATTTAAATTTAGTATTTAGAAACTAAAATTATAGTTTCTCTGCTTTAAAAAATTAAAATAAATATTTAAAAATAAAAATCAAAACTATTATTATGTTAAATTTGTTAAAAGTATAATTAAATCTCTATTTTCTTCAATTTTTTAATATAAATTTTTAAAATATAAATTAATTTCAATTGAAATTTTCAATTGAAAAATAAATTCAAGAATATTTGTTATTAAACTTTTCTTAAACAATGTATTGAATAGTTAACATCACTCTAGTCTTAATTTATTACAATTTAAATTTTTAATAAATTTGATTTATTACAATTCATTTTGTTAATATTGAGACCAAAGTTTATTTTTAAAGTATATTTTAAAAATTAAATTATTTTTAAAAACTAAATTACTTTTAAAAAATAAATTGTAAAAAATATACTAAAACAATTAAAGTATATTTATAAAAAAAATTTAAATATAATAAAAAAATAATATTCATTAGCGATCGATTTCAATTCGATCGCTATTTTCTCATTAGTGACCGATTATAATTCTGGTCACTATTTCAATTTGTAATTCGGTCGCTAAATCGATCGCTAAATGATTTTTTTATTTTAGTGTGGAATAGCCACCGATTTAGCGACCGAAATTTTGCGACGCAAATTATTGGTCGCTATTTCGGTCGCTAAATAACAAAATGAAAACCAACTCATATTTTGGTCGCTAAATCGGTCGCTAATTGCGACCGAATTAAAGTGGTCGCTGAATCGGTCGCTAATTGCGACCGAATTAAAGTGGTCGCTACCAAAATTAAATCGGTCGCTAAATCGGTCGCTATTTGCGACCGAAATAATTCGGTCGCTAATTTCGGTGACTAAATGTCATTTTTCTTGTAGTGATACATATAATGATAAATAGAACGAAGTCTAAAATCAAAACATTATTCCTCCTCTTCTTCGATGATCTTCCCATTTACCACACTTTTAAATGGTCCCATGGTAGACAAGTCGACACTGGGGAAGAGAACTCCATCATGGCAGAAAAATCAACCACATACATCTTCGTGATTTTAGTTTTTGCGGCATCTTTGGCTCATTGGAGATCACTCTTTTCTTTCACCAAAAAAATTAGTTTCTCCTCCATGTAGCTAATCTCAGTCTTATAACTTTGGTAGAGAGATTCATGTGCTTTCTTCTCTGCCAACAAGTCTGCTTCCATCTTCCTTAACATTTCAATGGTCCCCGCATGAGGTTTTATTGATTGCTCCAGTTTCTCCAAGGCACGAACTTCGCCTTCCTCTTCCTTCTTCTCACCTTTGAGAGCGGAGTCTGCCTCGCGATCCTTCCTCTCACTTTTCACATCAATGGAATTGGTTATAGTTAACAAACTTTACAAAGTCAGATTTATCTCTACTTCATTCGTGTGGGGGGAGTTGGAAAGAGTCTTGCCAAAAATATCTCCACCACAGGCTGTGGTAGAGGGTTAGGGGCTAGATATAACCACAACTGTCTTGGACGCGGGAGCTACCTTTTGCTTCTGAGTCAGCCACTTGTCAAACTCAGTGTGCTTAGACCCCAAGCCAACATCTTCTATGCGAGGAGGCGTGGAAGGCTCCCTAGCTACTAGGGTCTTGGAGGACTATTTTTTGGTATCCATATCCTCACGCAAGTGACGACTCATTTCCTTCTTCAATAGGGTCATCGGTCTCTCTACAACATCGAGAAAGTCATGAGCAAACATATACTTTAAATACCAATAACAAATAGGACAGAGAAGCTACTTGTATATACTTTAAGGTCTATAACTTGGAATTCTAACTTAAGGAGCGTGGACATATAAAAAATGGTATTCAACCGCTTGAGCATCACACAATACTCAGATTCGTCTGGTTCTACTTAACCTAGCTGCTTAGCAGGTTGGGAATGAGGCTTGACCGTCCAATAAAGTGGAAATCCCTCCACTGGAGCCAGGTTCGATTTAAGGGCACAAATTTTAACAAACTAGCCCTTAAAATGCTTATAAGACGATTAAAATAGGGTAAGGAGACCTCGGTCAAGTACACCACTGACTAAGACCTAAGAGGTTCTCTTAGAGTTTCGACAGTTAAAGAAATAAAATAGAAACCATATTCATTAATGGCATGACACTAAAATGGGTGGAGAGAATAATGTCGAACACTTGATAAAAGTCCAACTATTTTGATGCAACTTGGCTTGGGAAACATTCATCACAGTCAAAACTTCCTTTCGAATGAACTCAAAGGAAGACACGACCCTAATTTGATGAACCGAGTGTCATATATAAAGAAGAATGAGTCGCAATCTTCCTCTTGGTCTCTATAAACAGGTTCAACAAGGTTGCACATTTCTAAAATTAAATCCGACTGACTATTTTGCAGGTGCTTCAAGAGCTTAAGGGAAGTATAATTAGGGTTTTATGGAGGATTTCAGCCTTATCCCATGAATACAACACAACATCACTCATTTCCTTAATCTCTCTACCAACCACACTCTTTCCAGGATAAACCACAAAAACAAAAGGCACAAACAAAAGTAATTAAAATGCAAAGATGTAACAGTAGAAAGCAGAACACACCAGAGCAACCCAAGTGTGAGGAGGAGAAAACACAAAGAGGGAGAAAAGTGAAGTTGAAAGAGCAAGAGTAAAGTGAAGAGAGGAAAATGACGAAGTGTGGAGCTAAACATTAGGTGAGGGAGATGAAAAGACACAGGGAAGGGCATCCACGTTGTATGGGGCATGATGTGATTAGATGTGACATTCTGTTAGTAACAGCATATGGCGCGAGACTGACATTTGAGCTTCTTAAGAAGACAAGGACGGTGAAACGATATGAGCATGATGTCGAGTTCCATGTTCGCTCAAAGATCAAATGTTAACAAAATGACAAAGTTAGTTGACTTATTTAAAATCTCGGCAATTGAAACTTAAGGCTGGTGGGTTGTGTAGAGTCTAGGTCACTCACCTTGTTAGCTTACCAATATATAGGATCGGTTCAAGTATCAAATATCTTTCTTTTAGGGATATAACAAAAATTTCTCCAAAAATCACGCCAATTACCCAGAGAATTACATATAAGATAATAACCAATCCAAGAAATACCCATAGTTGAATGGGAATACAAAGGTAAAAATGGGCTTAGGGTTAGGAAAAGGACAAGTTCAGATATTGTCAATTAAAAATAGTGATAAATCTTAATTATTGATCGTAGGAGAGATAAATAATAAATTAATAAGAAAGAGATAAAAGAATATAAAATGATGAGAGGTCAAATTTATAAATATATAAGTAGGTATAATTAATAATCATCAAATTTTAAATATCAAAATCTAATATAAATTACAAAATTTTAGGAATAATGACAAAAAGATCAAAATCATAAATATTAATATAAATTATAAAACTATAGAGAATATGACTCTTCTCACCTTAAAATAAGTTTCGCCACTAATTAAAGAAACATATAAACCACAACAATTATAAAAATGTTTAGTAAAATAACTTTTTTAACTACTTAATATTTTGAAAATTTTTATTTCTAACTTTTTTTTACATTTTTTTAATTTTTAAATAATAACGTTTTAATAATAAACTTTATATATATATATATATATATATATATATATATTATCCATTTTATATAATAATAACAATAATTTTATGAGTATTTTTATATTATAATAATAATAGTCAAAATATTACTTTTCTACACGCATCAGTTTTAAACAAGTCTCTTATTAGTCAGTGAAAAAGGTTGCGTAGTTGTTCTACTTTTCTATCATCAAAATTTTGTTAATCTCATTGAAACTGATAATACATCCATTCTTAGAACAAATATTACTGTATAGGATGAGAAGTTATTAAAAGTAGAAGTTTAGGAACGAGAACGACTTTCTCACCTTACCTTACCTTACCTAAATAATAGCCATTGAAAGTTGACGATCTTCTCGCCAACCAATGCTTGCCATATATTCTGCATGCACATTCTTACATCCCCCTCTCCTACATCACACAGACTAACCCAGTTTCTTCTTCATCGCTTTCTGCCATGGGTTCCAGTTCTGACGAAGTGGCCTTCGATTTCACACCCTTTATCAAAATCTACAAAGACGGTCGCGTACAGAGACTTGCAGGCTGCGAAGTCATTCCGCCGTGTAAGGATCCCGGAACAAATGTGGAATCAAAAGACGTGGTAATCTCAAAAGACGATGACGTATCAGCCAGGATATTCATTCCCAAACTCACCGATCAAACCCAAAAGCTCCCTCTCCTCGTCTACTTCCACGGTGGGGGGTTCTGCATAGAAACACCATATTCACCTCCATACCATAACTTCCTCAACTCAATTGTTTCCGAGGCCCACATCGTCGGTGTGTCGGTTCACTACAAGAGAGCCCCAGAGCACCCTGTTCCCATAGCTTACGAAGATTCATGGACTTCGCTCAAATGGGTAGCGTCTCATTTAAACGGAAACGGCCCTGAGGAGTGGCTCAATCGCCACGCTGACTTTGGGAAGGTTTTCTGCGGTGGTGATAGTGCGGGAGCAAACATCGCACACAACATGGGTATTCGGGTCGGGACCCGAGGGCTTCCGGGTTTCAACATTGACGGAATTCTTTTGGTGCATCCGTACTTTTGGGGCGTGGAGCGAATTGGAAGTGAGGCCCAAAAGCCAGAACTTCATGCAGCGGTGGATAAGTTGTGGCGTTTTGCTTGCCCCACCTCGACAGGATCCGACGACCCGTTGATCAACCCGGCTACGGACCCGAATCTGGGGAAGCTAGCTTGCAAGAGAGTGGTGGTTTTTGTTGCAGAGAATGATTTGATGAAAAATAGGGGCTGGTATTACAAGGATTTGCTGGAGAAGAGTGAGTGGCAGGGTGTTGTGGAGGTGATGGAGGCAAAAGGAGAAAACCACGTGTTTCACTTGTTCAATCCATATTCTGACAACGCTGTTGCCCTGCTCCATCGAATTGCTTCCTTCATCAACCATAGTTAACTATGCAAAACTTAAGAACTCCACAAATTTTCATGGTTTACTGATTGTGGAAAATAAGAAAGCAAAAATTTGAGTGTTTGTAGAGAAACGTATCCCCATCCAACTATGTCAAAGCAGCAATTTGTGCGGTTGACCAGCTCTAGCATCCGGTTACAGATATTCACAAACAAACCAAAATAATCCTTCGGTTTTCAAACAATCATCACATCACCCTTACAATTGTGTTACTGTATTTTACAAAATCTTTTTTATTCCTTTAATTTTTTTTCCTGTAATATTAGATCTTATTTTTTAATTATTAGCAATTTTAGTTTCTAACTATTTTTATGTATATTGATGTCTACTTATTCGTAAATTTGTTCAATTTTCAATTCAATTAAATCAGTGTTTTAAAAATTCGTCCGTACTAGTTAGTTTAATAGGTCTAATAAAAAATTAAATTTGGAAACTAATTTGTTACATGAAAAAAAATTAATTAAATTGGTATAAAGAAAAAAATCAATAAAACTAACAAAGTTAGTTGGATTTTTTTTTATCGATTTTTGATAAAAAAAAAAGAAGAAGAGAGTTTAAAGATAATTTATTTTTGAAAGACAATTTTTTTATTAAAAAAATATAATATTTTTTTCTTTTTGATTTTATATGAATAAGTTAATTTTAAATAATAACTATTTTACTACATTCTTATCTTATTTTTATGATTATTAATTTTTATTATTTTATATTTATCATAATACTTTTTATTAATATTTTAATTTTTAAAAAATTATTAATAATAAATTTATTAAATATTTACTATTAATATTATAAAAATATTATTTTATTAACTCAATATTATCTTTCAACTCAACGCATAATACTCTTATAATACTTTTTTTAATACCGTTGAAAAAGGTATTAGTTACATTCTTATGTTAAATGCATTTTTTCATAATGAAAGGTAAAAGTTGAACAAAAGGTAAAGATATTTTAAAATTTAAGAAATAAAAATCGCATTAAAGAATTCAATTATCACAAATACGGGTAATTAAAGATTAAAAATTTAAATTGTGAAAAAAAAATGAACCAAAATTGCAGATTTTGTAGACTATAAGGATCAAATTATAATATTTTTTTAATTATTATTATGACCCAAAGTGTTGGTATCTTAACTAAGGTGTTTCGTAAAGCCAGATATGAGTCAATAAAGAGGCGTGTTAACTTAATGGCTCATGAAGTGATTTTTAAGTTGTTGCTAGCTTTTAGGACCCCATGACTTATTTTTTTATGTTATTTCCCTCAGTTCAAGGAGGATTAATACTTTTTGTGACAGTGAATATGCTTGTAATGTAAGCAAATATCATGGTAAAAAATTCTATGAATATTAAAGTATTATTTCTGCATTTGTTTAGAATGAACTTTTATTTCTTGTATAGTATAAGAATCAAAATTGTGTTTTGTTTTCTTTTGAGATTTCTACGATCATTTCCTATCTCTTTGAAAATAATTTTATTTTGTCTGCAGGGTTTGTGACCAAGTCATATTGTCTAGTCTTATTTTTACAAGTCCACTATGAATCAAAATATATTATTTTCAAGATTTATTTTTATTATAACAATAATTAATGATTATAAACGTGATATTATTTCCTTAAATTCAATTAATCTATTAAAAAATATACAAAAAATTTAAATTATAACTTATATTTAAACATGTTTTATTATTATAATTATTTTTAAAATAAATCAATAATTTTCATAATGATAATTCCTAGACATAATACATGTCTTAAGTTAAAATAAGTACGGGGTTTTTAATTTAATTTAATTTTTATTATTTATTATTTAAGGGAATGAAAAAGCAAGTGAGTGTTGTGTTGTGTTTGTTTTAGTTAATGTAAGTGGATTTGAGAGTGGATACAAGATTAGAAAAATAATTCACCTAATGTACATTTACATAAGTGAATCCATTCTTCTTCTACCCAAAATCAATTCTCAATCCACGTTTATTGAAAAATATTATTATTTATTTATAGAATAAAAATTTATTCTTTTCTTTTTTTAATAATAATAATAAAGAATTCATTTTCCATCATCATTATTATTATATTACTATTACTATTACTATTATTATTATTATTATTATTATTATTATTATTATTATTAAATATGATAATCGATTTTTTTATTTAATAATAACAATATTCTTACATTTAATTATAATAATAATAATAATATTTATAATAACAAATATATAAATAATACTAATAATTATATTAATAATAATACTAATAATCATTTTAATAATAATAATTATTATAATCATAAAAATAATTATTTTAATAATAATAATTATAATCATAAAAATAATTATAATAATAATCATGTTAATAATTAATAAAAAATGAAATAATTATAATATTTTAAATAATAATTATTATTATTATAATAATAAATATATAAATAATAATACTAATAATTATTTTAATTATAAAAATAATTATAATAATTATTATATTAATAATTAAAATAAAAATAATTTAAATAATTATAATATTTAAATTATATTAATAATAATAATAATTTTTATTTAAGGATACTTTGGTCATTTTTAATTTTTTTATTAAAATATTTTTTTATTATTCACATCAATAAAATCACTCACAAAATTCCATAATTTTTTCTTTATTTTCCTACCCTTCTTATTATCTTTCCCTTAATTCAAAAAATCTCATTTTTATTTTTCTTTCCACTCAAATCTATCATTTTCTATTCCATCATCTTTTAATCCAAAGAAAGACTAAGAAAAAAAAATCATTATTTCAAAACCATTCCAAACATATAGATCACGGCTAAACATGTAGACAATTTTATCCAAGAAGGAGAGAAAAGTAAGAATAAAATTCTTTTATTACTATTATTATACTGAAAAAAGTGGTTATTGAATGATTATTTATTGGTATTGGATTGTTTATATATCATCCTTTATCAAGTTAGTAAGTTATTTTGATGTATATTTTAAATTGAGCATTTAAAATTGAATGATGCAAGGTTTCTATGCTTATGAAGGTTAGTCAATGACTATTTATAAAAGAACACTGATGTCTGATATAACCATTTAACAACCTAATATATTTGTATAATAACATATATTATTATTTTATTAATATAAATAATTGTTATTTGAATGTTTGGTTATCCACCAAATATTTTCCTTTATAAAGAATGGTTTGAAATCCTTATAAGTACAACCTTTGCTTCTATAAGACATACGTTGTGTCCAAACTGACTTCTATAAGTTCATTGAATTTGTGTATTTTTAGATATGTTTCTTTTTAGCGTCCATTTTCATTTATTAGAAATGTTTGTTATTTTTTCTAAAAATATTTTCTATGTTTTCTATAGAGGTTTCCCCTAATGAAAATGAACATTTTATATCTTCAATCCCAAACTCTTTAACCAGTTTTCGAAATATATTCTTTTCAATTCATGGATTTTACTAATTTGTTAGTCTTCGATTTTGTTAAAAAAAATATTTAAAATTAAATGATGAAGGAACACTCAAGAAATAATTAATTCCTCTCAAGGATTTCCTCCAAAAGATTATTATTATTAAGTAAAAGAGGGTATTTTACAATCAAACATAAGATAATTGATCATCATAATTTGATGTACAATTCTTTTGTATCTATGAAAAAGGAATAAAGTGATTTTTAGGGATAATTTTTTTTATTTTTATTTTGAATGTGTGATGCAGAATATTAGCTATGTTTATTTATGAGAACTAAACTTTAATCATGTATTTTTATGTTATATTTTGCTTATATAATTGACACTTGTTATCTATCATTCATATCTATATAAATAGATTTTGTTTTGTTGATTAAAAAAATCATCCTAATTTGGGTGAGATTTTTAATTTGCTTATTATTATCTTAATAAGTGAATTTATATAGGAAAATGATCTACTCGCTCATACTTATATGTATATAAAAAAACTTCTAGACATATTTATACGAGCATACCTTTTACTTGTTCTAATATAATCTTAATATAATATAAACTTCATAAAATAGTTAGATTTTCCTTATATCTTTCATTGAGTTTTTAGATAAGGTTCTTATCATAAGAAATATTTTAACTTTCTTTCAACTAAAGTCAAATTCTTTGGTAGGTTGAACCTTTTTGAGAAGTTGAAAAAATAAAAATAAAAATAACATTTACTGTGATGAGCTTATTAGGTTATTATAATGCAAGACATACATTATTAATTTTTAAAATAAATATTAAAAATATATGAAAACAAATTAAAACTATGAATATTATAAATAATTATTTATGAGATTTTTATAAAATGTTTCTTTATTTAATAATTATTTTATTACAATATATTTAATAATTTTATAATAAAAAAATTCGTAAAAATCACTTAAATAAAACCACAAAATATTATTTTGGTTCAATTTGTTTTACAAAATAAAAATCAAACTCAATCTGAACTAAACCAAATTTAAATTGTATGTTTAGTTCGAATGATTTTTTTATTACAAAACTGAAGCATATTGCACTATGGACAAACTTGATTACAATGGTTTCCCACCTCTTATTCCTCTAAAGAGAAATGCTTCCTCAAAGATGTTAATAAAATAATCTTCAAAGAGTATGACCAAAGTCACGTCTGTTGGAAATATTGCTTTTTATTATTTTTAATTTAAATTAGGTATTAAGAGATTTTATTATTTTTTAAGAGGGAAGGTAAAAAGACATTAGGTTATTATTTTGATTTAAGCAGTTATGATTGAGATATTATGAATATTTAATATTTTGTAATATTTTTACTCTATATATAGATAGAGTACATGAATAGAAATATACACACATGATATATCAGAAATACATATACACAAAACCCTTCAAATACCCAACAAATTGGTATCAGAGCTTTGGTTCGACACAATGGAAGGAGAAAGAAATTTTTCACAAGTCGCTATTCCAGTTTTTTATGGCGAAAGTTATGACTTA